ACACAAGTGTAATAAAATAGATTTTATTAACAAAAGATAGACAAGAGTAATCAACAACTACTAAATGAATACCATAAATGAAATAGGAATAAAGTGCATAAGATGCATAAAATGCAAGTGATTATTTTGGGTTTTGCAATGTCAGAGCTAAGTTATCTGGAAAGACAAACTGTTGCTACTCTGAAAGAAATAAGGTGAAGACCCCTATGATGCATCAAACAAATACATGAAAGATTTGCTATAAACTGCAATCAGCAATATAATATCTAATGTAAATTAGAAAAATCATATACTGATAACATCTAACAATGCCAAGGTCTCTGGAAGAGGTTTGGATAAGTGATACTTACGTTCTCTGTGGTCGAATGAGCAGTCCGATGGCGGCGACTTCATCCACTGGTTGTGCTGGTAACAATGTAGTGGGGAAAGGAGTGGAGCTTAACCTTGTTGCAGATGTCTCTGTGTCTTCAGCCTCTCTGGGCTAGAGACTCAGAACTTGGTCAATCCGCTTTGTCTCACTAGGATGGAGATTCAGGATGTGCTGCATCTGTTGTCGTCTCGCTGGGCGAAGACTCTGAATGAAGTCTGAACGTAGATTATCTCTTTCCTCGCAGGCTGGAGGCTCAGAACGTGGTCGTATCTGTTGCTGCCTTGAAGCTGGAGACTCGGGACTTGGTATCTGTTATTGCCTCTTCCCTCACGGGCCAGAGGTTCAGAACGTTAGTGATCTGTTGCAGTCTTTTCCTTGACAGGACTCAGAACGGAGGTTGATCTGCTATTGTCTCACCCTTGCTGGCAGGAGATTCAGAACGAGTTGTTTCTGTTGCTGTCTTCCTGGTAACAGGACTCAGACTCAGAACAGTGTATCTGTTAACGTCTTTTCCATTGCAGTACTCAGACTCAGAACAAGTAGTGTCTTTTGGGAAGGTACCTTTATCTCTTTCCGATGAGGAGGAGATTGCAATCTGGCGCTTCTCTATTTCCAGGCTGTGATTGGCCATCAGAGTTGGGGGACACGGTGTGGCCCACCCTTCTTTCCTCCTGTGGAACTTATTTACGTAGTCCAAACACACATTTAGAAAAGTGTGACTAAAGCT